ATATCATTGAAGCTGTACGTTTTCTCGACAATCGGCTTGATCTGAATACATCAGAATACGATAAAGCACATCAGAATAGCAAATTCTCACTTCGTCCGTACACGAAACTTGTCAAATTTTTGAACAATCATTTCATTCGATTGTCGAATGTTTCAGTTTCAAGTGACTTTTACTTTTAATCTATTTCAAAACAAAAAACGATATTGTCGAATAGAGATAACTAAAGAAAAATTCGAATATTTTCACTGAGCACATCAAAGGTACAATAAAAATGGGAAACTATCGCAGAATAATTTATAAAAATGGAAAAAACGTAATTGAACAATATAAAACTAAATCTTGCCTTTCCACTCTCTACTAATTTCGACACTGTATTGAGACATTCTTCATTCGGTGCGAAATAGGCATAAGAGAACCAGCGGCCATTTCGTAGCGACTAAACACAAAGAAATAGTTTATTACTAACAATAAATAATTGTACGTTATGTTATCAATATATTCGAACTCTGAGACGAAATATTTTGAGACATTTTCGAAATATTGAGTGCATCTCCGATCTTTAAACTGCACGTCAAACTCACGTCAAATGATCTCGCAAAATACTTCACTGTTGTAGAGGCAAGTCCATAAGGTATNGCATGAATATTGTTTCATCTCATCGCATTGATCAGCAATCACACAAATTTCTTCTTTCACAAGAAATATACCAGAAAACCGTTATTGAAAAGTCAATTATGAAGTTAATTATTACCTATCCGTATCTTGCAGAATCGGTGTAAGCAGAGTAACATGAACACTGTTTCGCCAGACACCCATCAAAGAATCACTCCATTGTGCTAATTCTGTATTCACACAATCCAATATCACATCAAATGGCCCCTCTGACTGCAGCATTTCTTTCACCGTCATACAGTCATAATCAACTGGTTTTGCACCTAACGATGAAACCAATTCAAAACTGCAAATTGCTTTGGCTTTGTGAACTTTCAGAGCTTATCGTTTATTGATGCAAAAAAAGAGAACGTGATTCAGTAACACAACAATAAGACAGATTCTTTTACGTGTGTGTGCGTCCTATAGATCAGTGTTATTAATGAACAGCATAATCATAGAATGGATATCAACAAATACTGATGAATAGATGAGAATACGCACAAGAATTTCAATTAGAAATTTTAAACGGATTCAAAATTTTTGCTCACAA